AGTTTCTTGTGTTTTTATTAACTTAGTATGAACCCTTTATGCCTACACAGGGAGGAGGTCTTTCCACATGGGTTCTACCAGGGTTCTACAGTAGTCTAAGAACACTGGTTTTATAAAGCTCCTTTCATGTTTTTTTTTTTATGTGAAGTGGCACCCACCATAGACTCTCCTACACAGCTGGTGAGGGAGGGGTTGGTTGTAATCTGCAACCTCATCACTGAATGCCACTAATACCTCCACACCAGTCCCTTAACATGTATTGTATTGTCGCAGTTTGTTGTACATCCAATCACACAGACTGACAAGAGGACACTGTGTCTGACAGACGGACAAAAGCAGTCAACAGCTTATGCAGACAGAGAGACAGAGAGGCAGGTAGTCACGAGAATAACTGGGCTTCTTGGAAAACTGACATTAATGCTCAGCATATTTTCCTCTCAGAGTTGTGGATGTTATCCCTCCTCGGTTCAGCTGGTGATAACTTCTCTTTTATAAAGAGGAGGTGCTGACAGATGTGATGTGACACGGCGTGTGTGGGTGTGTGTGTGTGTGTGTGTGTGTGTGTGTTGTGGCTATTGGGAGGAGATAAGTAAGGCATGTCAGTTAAGAAGCTAGTGTGCACAGAAAGGAAGCTGTCACTCCTGGGCTGAGAAATGAGAGAAAGAAGAGCACCTATGGGTGGGCTGGTCTGTCTGCCAAGATGCCAGTCACCTAGACAGCTAGTGGGGGAGCGGTGTGTGTGTGTGTGTGTGTGTGTGTGCGTCTGCGTGCATGTGTGCGTGTTTGTGTTTCATAAGGGCTTAGTGAGACCCTCTAAAGGAAGATGTTTTTTTCCTGTCAACCAGGTTTATACCTTAAATCCCTGTTGAGCTGTCACACTTAGAGTCCTCTGCCTCTGAGATAGAGCCTATCTGATAACACATATGCACAAACACAAGTGCACACACACACACACACACATGCGCACACACGTATGTCAGCTATTTTGACAGTATGTACTTTAATCTTTCAGAAGCTTCCTGAATTAGAACAAGAGAAGAGTCAAATGTCTGAAGTAAACTGTTAAATCTGTCTGCAGAAGGTAGAGGTGGGGCCGACGGGCCACCGCCAAACCACGAATATCACATCAGACAGCAATCAGACGGCGTTTAAAGGGAAAAAAATGTAATTGCTCAGTAATTACTATAGTATAGTGTTGGTACGTCTACTAGAAATGACGAGTAAAACCCCAAGTTGTAATCAGCATCACAATCAGAAAACCTTTATTAATCGATTTAGTCGCTCAAGATTGCAAAAGTTGTCAGATACAATACAACACAAGAAACATGAGCACCAGTGACTGAGTGGACGTCATGTGACGTTACTGGGTCCGTGCTGGGGGGTATGCTGGGTGTGGGGGGTCGGGATATATAGTATGAACGTAGCCCCACAGGTAACAGTTCAACACCTGGGCCGTAGAAGCCCGCCCTCACAATGGGACCAGGGTGGCACCATCTGTTCATAAATGCAGCAAGTTCTCCACCTTCTTCAGTGCCACTCTTGGATTTATTCCTGTCCGCCTGAACTGTCTGAAACCCGTTGATGGTAATGTGAATTAATCTTTTAATGTCCTGAAGGATGTGTGGCAGAATCCACGGAATTAGGTCCATACTAGTAAATTCTGTACCTTGAGATTTACAGAACATCCAATGCCAACATTTGGTGGAAATAGAGGCAGTAACAAAAGCACAAAGTAGGGCTGTGGGGGCTGTGGTGGTGGTGGTGGTGGATGGATTTCTGAACCATACTCCATCATGTGTCTTTAACATTACCCACATCGCAGCTATAATATAATCAGGTATTGTAGAAAGTGGGCAACTGAGAAATACTGGACATTGAAAGGCAGTCATTGACTGTAGTTCAGGGTTTTGCAAGATCGTTCAGTATTGATTTATATTGACTATCACCTAAATATTATCTCTGGAAGCTATGAGTGTGTAGGACGTCTTACTTTTGTAAGTTGGGGGCTGCAATTACTGTTCTACTCCAGTTTTTAACCAGCCCTTGGTATGGTCTTTGAGACTGGTTCTCAGGTAAATTCTGCTATTTTACAACCTGGATCTTACTGTTGTAACTCTACTCTCATCTCTGAAACTGTGGTGACTACTTTGACACCAAAGATGGCCTTTAAACCTAGATAAGTTTTTCGTATTCCAATGGCGAGTAGCTTGGCTTTGCGTTGTATTTGCTTTTCTCAGTGATGTTGTCAGTTGTACTAAGTAAAGAGTCCTGAGATCACTCATGTTATGATTAAGTACTAGATACATAAACCTGGATTAAACCTTATGATGATACAAATAACAAGTAAGTACATAAAGAAAACCGTTACATCCTCCATTTAAACATCTACAGGGCTTCTGCTGTAAAGACAACAGTGGTGCTCATACAGCACAGTTAGCACTCACATTCAGCTAAGCAACGCAAGTCATACTGGATTTTGTAAACAACCACAATTTCAACTCCTGATCAGACGTTTATACGTTCTCTCGCTACCAAGTGAAGAAAATCATGTCTACCTCGTCAAACCTGATGATTAAGCAACCTTCTTTAGTGAGTGGTGTTGATGGCTGGGCCCATCATATCACTCTGTAGGGATGTGACCTAAACTAATACTTAGTACCAAGTCAATGCCTACATCCTACAGACATGACAGTGCTTGTTTTTCTATTGCTTGAAAGTCCTGTAGGTATTGTAGATGGCGTGGGTACTGGACATACTAGACCAGGGATCTCCAACTCCGGTCCTCGTGAGCTACTGTCCTGCAGGTTTTAGACGTTTCCATACTGCAACACACCTGATTCACATTAATGGATCATTAATAGACTTGTGTAGAACTTGACAACAAGCTGTTGGAGATCTACGTCTAAAACCTGCAGGACAGTAGCTCATGAGGATCGGAGTTGGAGATCCCTGTACTTGACAATAACACCTACATGTAGGAATAGCAGCTGCAACTGGATGTGCAGTAACAGATCTGCTGGGACTCACGGAGGTATTTTGTTTTGACGCAAAGTTATAGGCGACAAAAAGCCAGTGTGGAAATGGTGTCTCAAACCACTTGGAAGCAATAAACGAGGCACCTTCAGCTCATCGAACGGGCTTTAAGACTTGCAGGCATCTGGATTTGTAGGCAGAATGAACAGGAAGAAACTACATCTGTCTTCAAAATGTTTATATCCTAAAATGTCAGCATTGTTGTTTGAACACTGCGACAGGTGCATCTATTGTAGCACTATACTACACAATGTTCACAAAGGCTAACGCTGGCTTGTTTAGGCAAACATAGTGATCATCCAAAACATGAGCTGCATGCATCAAAACATAATGCTGTGTGTATGTGTGTTGATTCATTTTTGGTATTTAGTTCATCAAGAACAGTGGAAATTCAGTCATACCAGGTCACTTGTTATAAAACATTTTTTCTCAGAACCCTGCTCTCCGGACTACCATTTAAACAATTGCACCACCACAGCCTCTTGTCACAATGGACGTCTTGCTATTTATTTAATCTGATCTGACTGGCGAAGAGCCCTGTGACCGGCTGAAACCTCCCATCATCGGGTAAATCTTCTAAAGCCTGGTTGGAGGAGGTACACACGTCTAGTTCAGACCAGTTAAATTGCAATATGCTGAAAGGTTAGAGTTTTTGCAAAATGATTCAAAAAAATAAATAAAATACTGCCGACCCAAGCTTTATGCAGTGAAGCAATAAATATATTTTCATGCCGTGGTTCCAAAAGATTTATTAAGATAGTATTTGGTATTGTAATTCATTTGCAGCCACAAAGCGCGTAAGTTCAGCACATCATTTACTATGACAGCAGCTTATCACACATTCACCACTGTTCCCCTTTGTGGAAAATCGCCGGACTCCCCTGAGACTCACCCCCCGCTGCAATACTTAAACCCCGGCTCGTCACCCCACTCCTTGTCAAATTGTTCTGCCTGCTCCCGTGGTAGTATTGTTAGCCAGCTCTCTCAGTGGTATCTGCTTATTCGTTGTCTAACCAGCAGCCTCTTTGGGCCTCAGGTCCTGGTCTCTTCTGGTTGGTCCGCTCACCGGGCAACTCACCACGCCGGGCACCTCGAATAGCACGTCTGTCTCCAGAAATGGCTAATCAGCCGCTTACCAACCACCTACATCCCACACTCCAACACATCAGCCTTCAGATGCTCCATACTACAGGATTAACGTGGCAGCCATTTACCAGCAACAGTCGCTCATCTCTGGATTCCCTCCCTGCACTGTGCACTGTCTCTTTAGTCCACATTGGTTTTTAGTAAACTCACAACACTCAAAACTGCTCAAAAATGTCAACACGATAAGTGATACAATTGTACTATATGAGTTAGTAAAACAGACATTATGTTAGTATTAAAACAATTTGTTTGAAAAATCAGGACTCACTCTGGCCGTACTGACTGTACTGGTAACCGGCGGCCGCCACAGCCGGGTCCATGCTGTAGCTGGTAGTGCTGTACGTGGGGGGGCAGTAAGACTGGGACGAGGGAAGGCTGTCCACCGTTTTGATGGAAGCCTCGGCCGAGCGCTGGCTGCAGCTGGCCGAGATGCTGTTGGACGAAGAGGAGTCCAGCGTGCTGTGGAGCGGCGAGATGGAGAAGTCGTGTTGTGGCTGCGATGAAACACTGCTGGGGTTACTCAGGATGCTCATAACCTGCAAACACAGTGGAGAGAGTGTTTTTAGAATTTTTAACATGCTGCTTCTTCCTGGAGCAAAAAAAAACACCAAAATCACACATGAAGAAAGCTTTAGGATTTGAGGAAAACATACTTTTTTTTTTAACAAAACCTCAAATTGTGATTTTTACCAGCAATTAACAACAATTAACACTCCCTTTTAGGATGGAAGAGGGTCTGGGTTCGAGACCTGCCTTGGGTACGAGTGTTGTTGGTTCATCTTTCACCAGACTGTGTGGCTACCATAGGTGTATGTGCTGAGTGAGTGCAAACAGTCACACTACCACGCTATAAAAGATTTAGTATGTCCCAGTACATAGTATATTAAATGTAGTACACCAGGATGTCCCACCACTTCCTGCTTTTCTGGCCTCTCAGACCCATAATCCTCTGTAAAATGGACCATATGTCACATACATCACGGTGTCTCGCAAACAGGTGAGTTCACAGTCAAACTTTAATACGACAAAGTAGTTTGTTGTCATTGTTTTCCTATTTCCTGCTATTGTGCATACTTTTTAAGCTGCTGTCAAAAGGCTCATACGTATGGGAAGAGGTTGAGCTGGAAGAGGCAGTGTGATTTTGGCATTCATGTGGATATTACTTTGAAATTATTTTTGTAAGCATCCTCATTTTTGAAACTTTTGCACATCACCGAATGCAGTCCGCCTGTGGAGCAGAGCCTCCTGTCGGCCACGGTTAGGTTACCTATCTCAAACGCACCTGACCACACACCTGCAGCTACTCAGGCACTTGCAAAGATTTGAGACTTTTTGTAGATACAGAAGGAACGTGTAGAGATTTTGACAAACAGGATAAAGATGTGCCACACACACAAATCCAGACACAGATAGGCAGATGGCGGATGTGGTGATAAAACTCCACTTCAGTGTGAGGAGTGTTTAATAGATGAAGGGATGTGAAAAACAGAGGTGTGCAGATCTCCTGTGGCGGTCTCTGTGCCACACAGTACTATCTCCTGCATTCAGGTCTGTTTCTCAGTCGTTTTCTGCAATATATTGAAATGGTTCTTCCCCGACATCATCTCCTTTATTTAGCATTCGAGTCGGTCCTTAGCTTAAAACAGTCAGCTGAAAGATCATTTAGGAAGTTTAGGGCTTCATATCCACATTAAACTGTGGATGTGAAAGGCTAACATTGACAGTATGCTTCATTACAGCATTATCTGCTTTAAACACCCTCTTCACAGCAACGTTTGGATTGGTAAGGAAGATGTGACAAACTTTGTAGACAATCATGGCCACAAGTAGGCAGGGATTAAGCTTCATGCTCACAGTTCTTTAGTCTCTCTTTACATTTACTGTAAACACTTTTCATATGTATAAACAAGTAAAACACTACCGATGCCCTCAAGTAAAGACTGAAAGCACGTTTTCTTACTCATGCAATTCACCGCATTTTAGCTCCTCTAACTGCTAGCAGGCTTTTGGCCTAAATCGTTCATCCATCCATCCATCCATCCATCCATCCATCCATCCATCCATCATCTATACACCGCTTAATCCTCACTAGGATCGTGGCGGGCTGGAGCCTATCCCAGCAGGACAGGTCACCAGTCTATCACAGGGCCACACTTAGAGACAGACAACCAAGCACACTCACATTCACACCAACGGACAATTTAGAATCACCAATTAACCTCAACATGTTTCTGGACTGTGGGAGGAAGCCGGAGAACCCAGAGAGAACCCACGCTGCACGGGGAGAACATGGAGACTCCACACAGAAAGATCCTGGGTGTCCTCACCGGGACGCACACCGGCGACCTTCTAGCTGCGAGGATACAGTGCTAACCACAGAGCCACCTTGCAGCCCTCATTCATATACGTCAACTGATAAACAATAAACGTCAGTGAAGGAACATAAGAACAGAAACATGCACTTCATAGTTTAACGTGTTTAGCCAAACCATAACCAGTTTAAGTTTGACACTCTACGCTGCAGAGTACGATCACTGAGACCAGCCTGTCCTGTTGTGACTTCAGTGTGTGACGATCAAGGATTACCTCATTCTTGATGTTAGTTTTCATTACGCTACCTAACCACCATCTAAAGCAAACTTTGCAGCATGTGTGACTTGACGATGATGATGTACCTCACGGTGTCAGGCTGAGTGTCTGCTGTAGGTGGATACAGCAGCTGGGATTAAGGATGATGTTAAGATGCCGCTGGTGTCCGACACCGTCTGTCATTGTCTTCCTTGAAATTGTAGGTCAGACAGTAATTGCGTTTTAACCACGTCAGTAGGAATACTGAACAACTGATGCAATCAGGGGTAATTATGCAGTCATTTTTATGCTGTTTTACTATATGTAGATGTGTTTTTGTCAGATGCCATAATCCTGAAAAATCCAAACTCCCCCATAAGTGATGAAAACAGAAATCAGACTCGCTGTCATGGAGACATGTTTTTTTTTTTTTTGGAACAATCAAATGCATTCAGAGCCTGACTGAACTGAAAGACAAATATATTAAATATGTTAACAGACAGGCTTTTGTTTCATGTCAGTAAATATTCCTGTTTTATAATATGTTTGAAGAAATGACTGGAATATAGACGTAAAAGAAGACAGAAATTTAGTGAACAAGAGAAACTCAGGGGACGTATGGAAATCTGATTTAATGACTGATACGTCAGTGAAGTAAAAGAATATGATCGATTAAATTTTATGTAATGCATTTTAAAATGGAGCCAAAAACCAAAAAGAAATCAAACAATAATGTAAAATTCAACCCACAGAGCAGAGTGCTGCCAGAACAACTAGAATAAATACCATCCTGCAGTTGTGTGTATCTACCAGTCGGTCAAATTGCAGATTACATCCACGTCTGTCCAGAATAAAATAGTTTACACAGTGAATGCTTTAAATGTGTGATTTTACTGAGAGAGAAAATGTAAAATCCCAATAAAGCCGATTCTAATAGAATGCATATTGTAACAAAGAAAATTAAAATTGTAAATTAAATCTCTTCTTTGTCTCCAGGAGCTCAGCTTACCACCGGTGTGGGGTTTTGACAATTTTGTTGTACTTAAATCCATCCATCCATCATCTCTACACCTTAATCCTCACTAGGGTCATGGGGGGCTGGAGTCTATCCCAGCTGACTCAGGGTGAAGGCAGGTTCACCTGGACAGGTAACCAGTCTATCACAGGGCTACACTTAGAGACAGACAACCAAGCACACTCACATTCACACCTACGGACAATTTACAATCACCAATTAACCTCAGCATGTTTCTGGACTGTGGGAGGAAGCCGGAGAACCCGGAGAGAACCCACGCTGCACGGGGAGAACATGGAGACTCCACACAGAAAGATCCCGGGTGTCCTCACCGGGACGCAAACCAGCGACCTTCTTGCTACGAGGTGCTAACCAGTGCCCCATCTTGCAGCCCTACTTGAATTCAGTTCCTGAGAAAGAGCTTTCTTCTCATCTAATCACAACCTAAGATCTTTAAATGACTTCTTCTCCTTCTCACCGCACTAATCAGCTCTGAAGGTAACAGAAAGATTCAACAGAAAACTTGATGACGCTATAAATGAGTCTTAGTGATCAACTCAAGCCTCAATCCAGTATTCGATCAGTTCTCAGATTTGTCTTCCTCCTAAGATCAGAGGAGTTTATTCACTGACTGAGGCATGAGTCTGATCCAAACAAGTCTCTGACAGTAGGTCCTGCACTGGTGTTGGTAGTTTTGTATTTAACTTGTATGTAGCTGAGCAAACATCTCCACTGGCTCCCTGTCCAACAACGCATCAAGATCCTCCTCCTCACCCACAAAGCCCTCCATCATCTGGCCCCCCTCCGACCTCACAGACTTGCTCCAGCCCCACAACGCCTTCCCACAACCTTCGTTCCTCCTCTGCTCATGTTTAGCTTTTCATTAGTCTTTTAAGTCTGTTTAACTGGAGGTCTTGTTGATATTTCTTTTCAATGAATGTCACCTCACAGGAAGAACATTCTGGTTTCAAAGCTGCTGGTTGGCTGACTGAGGCCTTTCTGTGTGGAGTTTGCATGTTCTCCTACGACATCCAAGTTGAGTGGTAGTTTTAAACTAGCCATAGGAGTGCATGGACGGTTTTCTATTTTTCTCTCTTAGACCTGTGATGGACTTCCAACCTGCCAAGGGTGCTTCTTGTTCGATCCCAGCAGTGGTTTCGTTGTTTTAATCCGTGTGTGAACTCTTACTCTTGGAGCTGGATGTTAAAGGTTGATCAAATCTGTCATCACAAACAAAGCTCTTCTAATTTATGTGGAATATTTACAACAATGACTTCAATCAGCAGGTGGAGGTGTGTAGAAACATCTGGCAGCTGCTTCTAACTGCACATGACACAATAAAAGCTTTTCAGAACTGTTCGGAGGCGTTGACGTGCAGAAATGGACAAGAACGGACTCAAGCACTGCTGAAATGGAGATGTCACTGAGTGTCCGTTCACGTATTCCCGATTTCTGTATGTGAACGGTTAGCAGCTAAACATTCCCGGGTCCTAAGCCTAAACCTAAACCTTTCTCCTGCTCTTCAACACCACCCGCAGCACCTCCTCTACTCCAAATTAACTGGTGACGTTTAATAATTTTTCAAGGCCAAGAAGCTCTTTATCGGGATCAAGTCAGAGGATGGGAGGTGTTTGCTCAAGCATCGGCGAGCTAGCTCATTAGAGGATGTCAGGTCAAACAGCAGCTGACAGTGTTAATATTGGCTCCTCTTTACCATAATGACATGTAAATAAACAGAGACGGCTCTCAGCTGGACGGTGACAGGCTGCTGCCAACAGGATCCGGACTGCAGTGCACGGAGATGGACAGAGAGCTGGACGGTGCAGAGGGAATGTCTCTGCTGTGGAGGGAGCACTTTAATCGATCTTAACCTTGCAACAGCCAAAATGAGTAGAAGGTCAAATACAACCGTCTCTGCTCTGGGAACAGTAACGGTTGTTGATTTAGTCTTTT